TGAGATCAGTGTATAAGCTAAGAAAAAAGTTAAAAAATGGTTATATTTACATATATGATTTAATGATATATAAATCCAATTTCTTTATATATATATATATATATTTTACCTATATTCCATTATCTTGTGTGATATTACATTATATGCATAAAAGATGAGAATCACACTCACCATATTCCAATAGACTATTATCATAATGCATTATTTACATTAAAAAATGTACATTAATGTACCAAAGATTAAAATGATAATTTTATATATTATTTATTTTTACATAAAATTTTAACTTGATAAAATATAATTTTAAATTATTAATTCATCTCTATTTTTTACCAAATTCCACTCTATTAAATAGTTATAAATTTTATTTTATTTTATTTCCTACCTATTTCCAATCAAATTAATTTCTACCAATTCTTTTTCATTCCCTCTCCTTCCTCCACCAAGCACAATAAATGATGAGAGATAGGGAAACAAAAAGATGGATAGAGGAACAGCTTAGAACAAAAGTTACAAATTATTCGAAATTCAACCCAAAAAAGATCATTGAAACAAACTTCTACCATCGACAATTCAACATTAATTCAAGAAACTAACAAGCTATCTTATCATCACGAGAAATTTCTCTACATCAATCCCGAATTGAATTTCCCTGAGAGGTGTCTGCAATATAAAATAAATGTTCCGTTTACCTTTCTAATTTGTTGCAGCATCTTCAGAGTTACTATTTTCATCTGCTTTGGTAATAATAGGAGTACGACGATATCGGATACATAACGCACTCACGACGAGACATCCAAACCTATTGTTTTCCAACGCTTCTAACGCATCTGCAAAACTAAACGCGGTCTGAAGCAAAGCCAAGTAAAGCGCAAATAACGCACCAATAGTTGAGATCCCCGCAACCCAGCTTGTCAAATAATGATGCACCAACGAAGCTCTTATTCTCGCGTATAAAGTTTTAAAGTAAGAATTCGCATCGTTCGCCACTTTGTGCAAGTACGACTCGTGTTTGTCCCGAACAATTTCTTTGGTAATGTTGTTGATTAGATCCGCCACGGCGTTGTCGCTGCCTAGGGAATGATGAAGCACCCCTTTGTAGTGAAGAAGAGAAACGTCTTTAGAAGAGTTGATGAGACCATTGAAGAAAAACAAGTAGGTTGTCACATCAGGGTTGCACTCTTTGTGGCACTTCTCAAATGCTACTATGTTACGAAACGCGGTTCCTCTGTGATCGTTGATGTTTAAAGGAGGAATAGTGAGTACCCTCCAAAAACCCCATTTTTTGCCAAAGGTTATGTCAAGCAGTTGTCTAGTCTTATCTGCTTTGATGCTCACACCAGCCTCCATCAACTCCGTTACGGACCGAACCATGTACTTTTGGACCTCTCTGAGCTTTTCTCCCTCTAGTTTGAGCCCAATGCTGGACCTAAGAAGATCCAGAAAGTGAAGCCGTAACTCATCAGAGTCATCACATTCTGGAAAATTCTCAGAATCCACGAGCAGCAAAGGGTAAAAGAATCTAAGAGCAAGTGCTTTGAGACTCATGCATGGTTGTGATGAAGTTGCATCATCAACCCTAGTCAACTCAAACAACTTGTTCAAAACAAACATAGGAAGCTGGTTTTCCAGCATAATCAACTCACGCCGAATAATGGGTAGCATCCATCTATTCAAACAAGGGACTTCATTGAATTCACACGCTGAAAGATCCCTCAAGAGCTGAACGATGAAAGAGGCATCGATTAGCATCATTTGTAGAAACTCGTCCTTGCCGAGTTTGATGTCTTCCATGTAACATCTTCGAATGTCGGATTCTTGTTCCTCGAGGAACTTGAAGGCCTCGTCCAGTTTGGCTCCATTGTTAGAGTTGAAGAGGCGACGATAGAAGTTTGTCTTGAGAGCTTCCATGTTTCGCACGTGCGGGGATCCGTGATGGTAGGGACCGATTGAGATGTTGTTGGGTCTGTAGGCTTTGCGTTCGGCCATACGCATGTTTGATGGGACTTTGTATATGCATATGAGGTTGTTTCTTTCTTCTGGTTTTCCACTTTCCAACTCTTTTTTCATGTGATGCTTCCAATTTGAGGTGAGTTTGTTGGCAGTGGCATGGAATTTTCTTGTGTTGAGGTTGTGATGCGAAAATCTGAGGAGGTTTCTACATGCCATTGTATTGTTGGACAAAGGATGGTGAACTAGTTTGTTGTGTTGCGTTGTGACGACTTGATGCTTTTTCACTTGCAGCAGGTCAACTTTTAAGTCCACGTTAAATAATTGAATAAGATTTTTGGGAAGCTACATAGCTTCAAAATCAATAAATAATAGTAAAAGTAGATAGAGTGGGCCAATAGCGTGAAGAATTGAAGAATGTGTCGGAAAAAATTGTTATTATAATTTATGTTTGTTTTAATTATTTTATTAATTTAATTAATTATCTGATTATAAGAAAATAATAACATTAATTTTTAAAAATTATAATTTTTATGTTTTATTGATTTTTAATAGAAGAACTAACAGATGACTATTACGATAATAAATTAAAAGACCCTTAATTTTGTCTATATAGAAGTTGATTATAGTATTTTATTGTCTTATAAATTTAAGGAAGGGCAAAGGCTAATAAAAAAAATTATTATTATAAATATCTAAGTATTTTGTTATATATTTAGTAGTTTGGTAATAATAATTATAAGAAGTACATTTTTAATATTATAAGTTATACATTAAGAGAATATGAAGAAGAAAAAAAGGAAGAAATTTGTAGCTATGAGATAAGTAATAATTAGAGGGAAGAGAGGCAAATAGTAGAGAATATGATCAAACGTGGGGGTAATATAAGTAAGAAAAAGAAAGAAGAAATTTTGAAAGGAAATAAGTTTTTAAACAGTAAGGTGTGTTTATTTAGTGTTTTTAAAAACAATTTTGTTTTCTAGAATTATATAGATAAAAAAAAAAAAAAAAAACTTTTTCTACCTTGTTCTCTTAAATTTGCTTACTAAAACTATTCTGTTTTGTGGTTTTTAAAAACAAAAATAATGAGAAGAGTGTTGTTTTCATCTCGAGTTTCACATTATGTATTGAAAACTAAAAGTGGAGAACATATTGTTCATTAATTAAAAACATCATTATAGATAGTCTAAATCAGGCATTACATTTTTTCTCACTAATTTACGTTCTCCAATCAATACTAATAGCTTATTTAGATAACCTTTTAAGAGAGCTAAACGTACGTAGTACGATAAAAGTATTTTTTTTCTTCTAGGAGATTAAAAGTAATTTTGAGAGTGTTGACTATCTATTTAATTAGTAAAAAAAAATCTCATGATGGATTCCTAACTTGTGAAAAAATCCTTCAGGTCAGCTACAACTACAGTATCATAAACATGATTAGTCTTTAATTAATTTAACTAGAAGATATATGTGATAAGAGCAAAAAATGGTAATCAAAACATAGGTTTCACAAATACATATATATATATATATATATATGAGGAGGGGTTCGTTTACTTTAAGAGTGAGTTTACTTAGACTTACTCCATTCAATAATTCATGTTCTACGTGAAGCTTCTACTTCTTCTGATCTTGTGAAGGGGAAGGGTAAAGCTGCTGGTAAGGATGTGATGTTTCTGTTTGACTTTGGAGCTTCTCATTCCTTTATCTCTTATGCATGTGCTGCTATGCTTGGTGTGTCGGTAGGGGTTGAGACTGCTAGTGTCGACGCCCGCTTCTGCTTCGGTAGTTGCTTCTGAGCTGTGTGCTGGCTGTCCAATTGTGGTGAATGAGAGGAGGTATAAGGTGAACTTGATTTTTTTACCTTTGGTGGATATTGACATAATCTTAGGGATAGATTTTTTGTCTGCCAATCGCATCCTTATAGATTGTGCTTCTTTCTAATTTGACTGACCTAGAACGAAACCATAGCCGTTCATAATTCTATAAGGAATTCTACGGCTACTTTACAGACGCGCAATTCCGCCGTACATTTGGCTTGCCGCTACCCTAATGAAAAAAGCGTGAGGAGAATTCATGGAGATGGAGTTGATTTCTTTGTGACTCGATATGTGTTATCCAATTTTCAAATCCCCTTAAGCGGTTGAGGGGCAGCTGACCGAAAGGAAAGCGGGTAGGCCGCCATAAGAATCGCAGTGTGCTCTAATTTGGACTGTTTCCATTTTCGATGGAGAAAGCGGCAGGCCCAAAGAGCTCTCCAATAAGTGCACCGAAAGGGGGCCGGAAAGACGGTTGGTCAACCCGCTAAGATCGAATGGAACTTTCTTTGATTAAATGGAAACAGATAGATAGACAGTGTGTAGTGATTTATTTAATTGTAGTCAGTCTTTACTTAACTTGATCCAAGCTTGACTTAGCTCAAGCAATGCCTTTCGACTCCCATGCCTTCCTTTTATGGTTCAATACCTTATCTGGGACAAGCACCCGATGAAACTGACTGAATGTCGTATCACTGCCAACCATTTGGTGTTAAAGTCCAAACCCATTTCCCGAATGAGGCCTCTTTCTTCGTTTGCATGAACCAAGAGAGTCGTGCAACTTCCTTATTATCTTGACCGTTATCCTGCAACATCTTTTAACTGTTCTAGCGCAGAGCTCCTTTCATCTCCTATATCTTCTTCTTAGAGCCCAAGTTTCGACACAAATTCTCGGCCTAACCCAGTTGGATCCGTGGATGTCTCTGCTACTTGCTGACAGTCACTCTTCATCTTCTCCTCTTTTATCTGAGCTTGATTCTGTTGATTACAAAAAAAATCTTGAAACTGGTCATAAACATAACCTCAAATAATCACTCTAAAAATAAGTTCCACCAATCCCTTAGCTAAACAGAAGCAACTAAATAATGCTCACCTGACTACCTGTCGATGTGTCAAGCTGATACAGTTCCTCCCAACACTTTCTTTTTCATTCTCTGACGGAGTCCTGCTTAGTTTCTGATTTTGATCAGTTTATTTCTTTTATAATTCTAAAGTTTTCAAGAGCATTTTCATGACATAGTCCAAATTCGCTTTTTTAGTAAGGGTGAGAAAGGGTTTTTCATATATATGTAACAGACAGGCTTGTTTTCTTTAAAAAGTAAATTAACGTTCATTAGCTGACTTCAAAGAAAGGAACGATCACCCACCCAACACCCTTCTATTCCTTCTTCTTTATTTATTTGATATTTAAATTTTAGGTTGTTGTTATCCTCTTGATACAAACCCTTGGATATCGTATCCACCGGGTTTCTTTGGCATCATCAAAACTTTGTGCATATTTTCTTCCACATCTGCAAATTTTAAAAATATTTCAAAATCATTTGATACTTCGTTTCATTAAGTCAAATTGACGGATAATCATAAAAATATGTTACCGTCAATTTGAATTAATGAAACAAAGTATCAAATGGTTTTCAAATTTTTTTAAAATTCACAGATTTAATCTATGCATTAAGAACTTTAAATTCAACGGTTAGATCATTGAAATTTGATATAGAGCATGAATTATTGAATGAAGTAAGTCTAGGTAGACTTACTTCTAGAATAAATGGATCTCTCCTATATATATATATATATATATATATATATATATATATAGACACACACAAATCATACACATTTAAATCGTTGAGTTATATGTTTGTGAACCCTCATAGCAATTAGTGACCTTAATTAGGTAAGATTTAAACATTAGTCTCAATCATACATCATTAGACGATTCAAGATGATATGGTATATATGGTAGCTATATATAGACGTTCGAGATGTTAATACTCGAGTCTCTGTGTTCATCGAGAAGGTTTAGACCATGGGGCAAACCTTTGGTTACTTTATTTTATGGTTGAGTAGACTAACTATGACTTGTAGTGAAGGCAATCCAATTAAAATGCCTTAATTGTGTTTACTAATGTTATTTTGACTTTTACATTTGTTTAGGATGATTTAAAAAAGCATAAATCGGTTCATGCCAGGGATTCAGAACCTTAGTGGACTCCTATTCAATATTTGGGTGCAATCGTAGTGACTATCTTAAGAAACCCTATATAGATAGACATGGCTCAAAAAGTCATAAGCAGAAGCATTATTGACCATTTTTTTTATGTTAGAGGGAGTTTTTGACATTTGTTTGTGTAACGATTTGTTCTTCTAATTGTAGTATAATCACACACACACACAATTACTTGTTACTAATATTGTTACAAAATAAGGAGTAATTGACCTTTGATAGTTATTGCTCCTCATCAATCTCTTATGGTTCTCTTGTATTTTGCACAAGAAGACAAACACTTTGGCCTTTAAGAACATAATTGATTCATAAGTTCCTAATTTTAATAAATTTTCTTTGTCATATATTTTCATAACAAGAAATTTAATAATTAACACTTTAATTTTCATTGTTTATCATAAAAGCTATGAAAACACATTTGAGGTTACTAGAGGCATCAATTACATCTAGGAAGAAGCTTTCATATTTTGTGTCAAATGTAAGTTAATTGTCAAACACACATTCATAATTGTTATTTAAAATACATTCGCATTGTATATATTAAATTTGTAGTACCCAAGATAACCAAGTAGCAATGAATGTGGATATTACATGTAACACCTGAATTTTCTACTCATACAATGTTGATTATTATTTATTTTCATATATTTATTTTAGTTAATTAAAAGGGGTTTTTATAAAATATTGTAAGGGTTTTTAATAATTTCAATTATTTGTGAAAAAAAATTGTAAAATTTTATTTTTACGCCGGAACGGGCTGTTCCAAAATTGGAACGGGCCATTCCAAACAAAGAAAATAAGTTGTTTTTGAAGCAGTAGAACGGGCCGTTCCAAAAGTGGAACGGGCCGTTTCAAATTTGTAAAAGGCACATTTTTGGGTTTCCCAGAACGGGCCGTTCCCAAAGGGAAACGGGCCGTTATGGATTTCTTAAAACACCTAAAAAGTTAAGTTAGAAATGGGCCATTCTGCTTATGGTCAATCAGTGTTAACACGAACCCCAGAACGGACCGTTCTGATTTTAGAACGGGCCGTTCCGATTTTGGAACGGGCCGTTCCGATTTTGGAACGGGCCGTTCCAGTTGAAAATTTTGCACAGATTCGAAGGATCCGGAACGGGCCGTTCCGAATTCAATACGGGCCGTTCCGGGTACACCAGGTTGCCTATAAATAGGGGCAAGGGGTGAAAAAATTTATATTCAGTAAGAAGTGAAAATTTTAGAGA